ACTTGTGAACATGATCATCTAACACGACACTACAATAAAAGAATAGGCACAAAACACAAATAAAAATAATAATCATTTGATGGGAATTACATTAAAATGTAATTATGAGTATAACGTGTTGGTCAGCTGCTTTGAAGCTTAACTAGCACAACATGCAGAGCGATTTGACGAGTTCAAGGCAGAAGAATGGACTAAAAAGAAGCCATCGGACTGTGGGCTCTGAAGTCGAACTATGATGAAACCATGGGCGATATGAGGGCTGAAAACACGGGATAGAGAAAGAGAAGGAAGAACAAAAACCGTATGCCAACAACTTCCAAGGTAGGAGGGAAACTAGTGAAGAAGAAGAAGAAGAAGAAGGTGAGATCACCACCCTCCCGCCCACCAACTCCCCCCCCCCCATGCTTGCTTGTTTTGCTCCCACCACCCACAGGATCGATTGAAAGAGTTGCCAAGTGGGCCATAATTTACTCGAACCAGATTTAATTCCTCTAAATTTTCTTGGTTCTGAGTCAATCGTGACGATCCTCTTTCTACTCCATGCCGTGACCCACAGAAACCTGCTTGAGATGGTTCCACGTACATTTCCTTGGAGGTAAAATTATGAGTATAATAACAATTAATTTTTTTTAGGAAAAAAAAAAGAAGAAAGACAAAAAGATTATAATCTCAAGAGGTGGGTTGGGCGCACATCTCTTTTTTTTTTTACACTTTTCTCTGATGGGATTTCCTGTATCTCTGCCTATAAAGGGGGGCAGTGCTCACCAAATCCTCCCCACCCAACTCGATCGAGAGAGATGGGAAAGATCTACACCCTGGCCGAGGTTTTGACGCACAACTCCCCCAAGGACTGTTGGCTCATCATCAACGGCAAGGTTTGTACCCATTCGGGTCACCTCTTCATCCATCTTTTCTCTGAATCTGAGTCGCTTTGTCTTCTCCCCTTTCTACTCTCTTTTTATCGGATTAAGTGACGCCTGTGTCCATCTATTATTCGTTTCTCTAGGAAATGAATTACCCTTTTGATCTTGATCCCTTTTGAAACTTTCGATGTGAATTCTAGTAGGCTGTGGATTTTTGGGTTGCCTTTGAAAACCCTGTACATTACAACTAGTGATAAGCTCGAAATAGGATATGAAAGTGTCAAAAATGTTTACTTGAAGACGTTCGATAAAGATAAGCATGGCCTTTAATCCGGAAAAGAAAAAAAAAACATGTCTTTTGAGGTCTCGAACAATTTATCCGACTTCTCCTAAAAGTAATCCTTTGGGTTTAGTCTTACCTATTGTTCTTGTTGACATTCCGAGTAACTGGATAGAGTTGGTCAACAAATGGTCAAAAATAAGAAAGATTAAGGATGCTCGCTCGCTACATGGTATCATTCTGATACAATAACCTGATATCAAGAAAGTGGCATTTTAGAAAGTTGTGCTCATCCTCTAAATCCAAATAGTGGAATACAATATATATGCAGAGGGTGCATCTAATGGATGATACCAATTCTGTTTCAAGTTTGTATGCGACTGCAAAATAATTAAAAGTAGGCTAGAGATGTGCTGTTGACTCTAGCATTACGAATTCGGTATGCATAAAGAAAAATATGACCACTGACATGGTTCACTTTTCGGAAAAAAAAAATGATTGAAATAGGAAGGAATTATATATATTTTTTTTATTTCTAATCTTTCCTAGAAAAGATATTGTTAATGTTAATCAGTTTGGTTCTCTTTTAAGCGATGATTGAAATAATTTAAGTGGTGTTGTATTATGTTTTAACCATGTGCTATTTTAGAAATAATTTAAGAATTTTGGTCGGGGAATATAACTAATTAATTTAATAAATATCATATTTTTAGTCGGCAAATATAATTTCTTAAAGTTCTATTAAAATGCATGAAGTTCTGACTAAGATCTTATTCATATTTTTAAAATTCCATTAAAATGTACAAGATGCTTATTTCCATGTGAAAACTGGGTCCATCAAGAAGGCCCTTTTATTTAAATTTGCATGTGATCTATAAATAGAGACAGACAATTGAGATTTATTTAATTATTAAATCAATGTTTTGGCTGCGGTCCTCCACCAAATGATACTCTGATTTGACATACTGTTTTTGCACTTGCGTTGTTGGTAATTTCCTTGTTGAAGTTTTGTGTATCATTAGTCGACAAGTTTTGTTGTTCTTGTTGATGTTGGTGCAATATGGATAATAAAATTCCGCAAAGCTTTGTATGATGTGTTGCTAGTGATATAATTTAGTGCTGATATTTTGGGGTTTTAGACCAGCCTGTGGATTTCACTCATAGATGTCGTACCATACGTGAGTCTCGAGGATCCTACATTATAATTAGGGCATTAACAGCTAGAAATGATAGGCAAAACCAATTTTCTACCCTTGTCTAGCATTTAAATATTATAGTTTAGCGAAGTAAGGTGTTGACTAGTCTAGCTATTAAAAATTTTGACAGTATTATCTTGAGTTGGCACAAAATTGTTAAATCTTCATGTAGGCCATTTATCCTGAGATATCTAGTTTAAATTAATAAAGATCATGTTGTGAAAGCATTTCTATCAAATTATTAATTTATGTCCTTAACCATAAGGAAAATATTATTTTAAGAACTGATATCAACAAGGACAATGCTTGCTAAACAATTTGACGGAGTCTATGGCTGCTAGGCATGGGTAGCAAAATGAAGAGGCTGCTAAACCAGCCTATAGTATATTGCAAAACAGTGAATAGGTTTAGAGTAGTAACCTTTCTAGAAATCTAGGGTATGTTCAAACCATCAATTACATTATTATGTGAATCTAAACTATTATGCCTATCAAGATCATTTGCAAACTTCAGAAAAAAAAAAAAAGAAACTACAATTTTGATGGACCTAATTTTCACATAGGAATGAACCTCTAGTGCCAGGGAACTTTTTTATTTGTAGGCTAGTACTTGCTCCAATATTTTACTAGAACTTTCAAGAATTAAGTTTATTGAATGATATATATTTTTTATCAACTTGCTACATTTATTATATTCTGTGTCTTACAAATTGCGGTACATCAGCCGACGGCAAATGTGTAATATGATTATCAAGCTATATAAGTGGTTTCGATTATGAGTAGCAAATCAACTTGTTTATTGTACGAATCTTCCTTCAAGAAATATTATAACCGAGAATCTTATTTCTCTTACAATCAGAAAACATGTAGCATTAGCGTATGGAGTGAACCACAAACAGATTCAGCGATGGTGGACGCATGCCCAGTTTGGTAAAGCTGAAAGCAGGAGGAGGAGGTGGTGGTGGTAGAGGAGGTGAAGGGGTAGCTAAATAGGAGGAGGTGATGGTGAAGGAAGTATTGGAGAATAAGAAGAGGAAGAAGATGGGGGGGAGGGGGGGGGGGGGGGGAAAAAA